TTCATTCTAGTAATGATATATAGCACGTACCGTCGCGTCATTACCACCGAAACTCTGCGGGACAACTGGCCCGTAACAGCCGTGTTGGCGATCAAGCGGCTGCCTGCCCTCATCCGAGGACCGTCCGTAATCCTCCTTAATAGCTTCCACTCTGTTTACCTGAGTCTCTGGAAAGGACATTGATCTATGAGATGAAGGTGAAGACTAATATTTGTCCGGCTTTGCGTAATCGTTTTGCCGCGCGGGCCCGATCATACGGTCGGTTGCATACTCAACGCCTGCTTCGATGACTTTTTCAAAATAGTAATACACTCTTGGGATCTAAAGTCTTAGAGCCTAACACGTTAGCATCTTTAGTCTTTATCTCTCCCCAAGGCCCAGGTATATTATTAAAGGAATACACAGAAAGGGGATAAGAGCAATAGTATTAGCAACGACGATAGCAGGAGAGATGGCAATAACAATACTAAGAGAAATAGTAATAACAATAATAAGAGAAATAATAATAATAGTAGTAGTAAGAAAAGTAATAATAATAACTAGAGATATAGTAAAAATAATAGTAAGAGAAGTAGCGATATAAATATATAAGGTAGTAGATAGTTATTAATTTAATTTGTTATATTATATACGTGCTCTAAAATCGTATAGAGCCCTATGAGACTGGTCGAGTGAACCGACAATCCCGATATGACTGTAACTCGATATCCTGCTGACTGATAACGAGTCATAGAACAGTCTACTCAAAGACATCATTTGCGTATTGTGTCCTGCGCGAGAACTCGGAATCCTTGTAGTCGTCGGGGTAGAAGAGACCGACCACGTAATCGCTACCGCGGTGCCATCACTCGACAGAAGGGTCCTGGTGGGGGCTATAGAGGAGGCGAGTCTTGCTTAGCTCATGCCAAACCGTCCCTGTGACTTCGATCATGTGGCTAACCTCACTGGTCATCAGGTCAAAAGTCAATGCAGGCACACCCTAGAAAGCTGAAGCTTCCCGATCGCATGTCGAGCGGATGTTTCAAATGCGGCCTTGTATAAGTCGAAGGTACCTCGAAAAGAAGGGACTTCTGCTTTCGTATCGAATAACTCAGAGTGCTGTACGTTATCTTCAGTGCTCTTCTGACTTTGACGACTTCCAACTGGCCACCGCACCAACTATCTCCCTTCTACGAACCATCCAAGTTGACGTCCGCCTCACACGCGTAAGTACTTACCTTCACAAGCCAATAATCGCGGCTTGAGTCTACGGGGGCTCTGAAATACGCTTGAGGGAAGGAGATCTCCAGTCTCCCGGAATTCTGTGTCAATCCCCGACCGTGGTCTTCTTCAGACAGATTCCTCCTACAGAGTCCTAGTCAGAGTGGTTGAGAATCGAGTTAGACGTCACTCTCACGATGCCTGTCATGTTCCAACTGTCCTCAATACCACTAATATGATGCCTCTCTCGAGGTTTGTTGGGATTGTCTTGGTCCTTGTGGTTCGGATTATTATTCTCCAGGGGACACAAACTCATCTATATTCACTCGGAAGTCTGTTCAGATGAATGCATTTTGGAAGAGCCCGCGAGGCCTTGACCTTTCGATCTCATATGAACCACCTATGGCTAGCGTTTCTTAACAGGCGCTGTAAGCAGTCTCGACCGTGCTTGCTACGCCAGGTACTCGCAACTTGCATCGAACCATTCGTCCAAGACATGCAGTGTTGTCGATGTTCAGTCTCCCCTAGTGTCTCGGCAAAGGCTACCTCGGAGTCATGGAGTTCGCGAGAGTGACGCTTGTTGACCTGGCTTGGAAGCTGGATCTTGTGTTGCTGTTCAACTACTCTTCCTGAACAGATGTGAAACAACTTTGGCGGTGAAACTGGCCTTTATCCACTTCTCCCACTGCACCTATACCAACTGACGCAGTAAGTATCGCCCGATCCGATTGAGAATCAAGAGACGAGATCACCGGCACCGAAAGTCAATGCCATGAACCCCATGTGGACCGGCCAGTGACGGCCGACAAACACATTGATACTCTTGAGGTTCTTTCCTCTATCTTTTGAAAGGCTTAGACGATGTTTTGCCTGCAGAAATATAAGCCAAAGTCTGCGTTCACCGTAACGTCTGTATCTATTCAGAAACAATTTTTCTAGCAAGCTCGCCCATCTATGTGATAATTGTACAGCTGTCACCGAGTTCGTCTTAACTGGGTTGGCTTGTCTCCGCCCTCAACCTTTGGCTTCCGTTTGGGTACTTGCAGACCATTGAGTCATCTAAAATGATAAGCATCAATGTGATCTTCTGCAGTTGTGCTATAACCATCCAACATGGCTTGAAGGGATGTCTCTATTCGGCCAATCATCTTTAGGATTTTGGGCCTCTACTTTTACGATATTCCAGACCCATCTGCTTGTAACATCACATCGTAGCGTATTGCTACGTTTCAAGCATGGGCTGTTGGGTCGTAACATCTCTAGGCGATCTAGAGGTTCTTCGTCGTGGTTATTCATAAGTAGAGCAATAAGATAAGTAAAAAGGAACCGAAGAACCAGCTGGCCTTTACGGCTTCGTCTCTACTATCCTCATCCTAACTCCCTATATCTCTACTATACCCTCTTTAATATTTATATCAATAGTATATTCGTTATCAAAACTACTCAAAATAGGTTAGAATATATACACACTCGAGACCTTACTATCTAACGCTTTATACTTCTATATTTCATTATACTTTCTTAAATATTACTTATATTATTATCCTCTTTTTTTTAATCGCCAGCCCTTGTACATCTTCCTCCTTTATATATTCTGGAATGTATAGTACGAAAATATAGAGAGATATGTTAATTAATATCCCGTTATAGTAATTAAAAATTTAAGAAATAGAAGAACTAGAACCAGAGCAAATTAGGAGAGGACGAGAGATCCTAAGAGGAAAGCAGAACTATTCTTTAGAACGGCTCATTCTCTAAACAATCTAACGGGGATTATACAAAGATTCAATGCTTTGCGCAAGGCCAGGTTAACAGCAAGGCTAGTTCTTTTATAAAAATTTATTAAACTGCCCTTCCCTTGAAAAGGGTATTCCCCTTCTCAGCGCCTTACGAGGTGAAGCTAATAGCGGTCTGGGATCCTTTAGCAGTAGCCAGTGTCGTTATTCTGGATTTCTGGATCATCTTCCACAGCATTTTAACACGTTCATTGAGTCGAGAAAACCATTTCGAGGAGACAGCGATGGCACCGGGATGCCCGTTCAAGAACGGCCCCGGCGTCCCGAAAGTGTGCCCAACTTTTATGGGTCTACCGGAGCTTGTACCGGCCGCTGCCACCGGGTGGCTGGAGTTCCTGGACCTTGCCCAATTTGGACGGGATACGTATCTTTTCTAGCCCTGCCATGTGCACCACGGAAGAGAAAAATTGGGGAAAGAACACCTCAGCTGAGCCCTCAGCCACGGGCAGCTTTGCTGGACGTAGCGGCGCAGCATCCACTAGGAATCCACCAGCCCAACCAATGTGCCAATGTCGTATTACCGCGTTGCATGTCTGTACTCTCTGAGGTGGGAATCCATGGCAGCCGCCGAACCGAACTGACTCTGGGCGACAAGACCAAACTTCGACAAGTTTCCTTCGCCCAAAGCCGTCGTCATCCTGCCAAGAAACGAATGGCAAACTGCGAGCGCACGCCGCGTACGACGTAAACCTATTCATATATTCCACTCAGCGCATAGCTAGTTTCGCGCCAACTTCTACATTGGCCTTTTCCCTCCCTCCGCTCAACAGATTTCCCAAGCATCCCGCCTTGCAGCTACACGCCCACAACCGCGCTTCCCGACTGATCGCGCCGAGAGACACCACCAAGAATCACCAGCATGCCCAGCACGAGGGTCCGCAAGGTCTACAGGACCGACGATGTCGTGGACCTCAAGGATGAAGAAAAGGAGCAACTGCTCGAGGTACGTTGAGCTACTCGCAAGTTTTCCAAAGCTTGACCGTTAGCTGACAGCTCTACCCCTCCAGAGCTACCTCCCAGACGGCCCACCCCAAGACGCACGACGACAATGGCGCGACGATGATATTCCTCCCAAGGGCAGGTTCGGCCTGAGACGCGCCCTTCGCTCGAAGGTACACCTTGCGATTTACACAGTTCTCCACGCCATTTTCTCTTTGTACATTCGGATACGACAAGCATGGCATCTCGTGTGCTACCACATATCCTCCATCATGTTCTACCACCACCGAACCCCGGAATCTATCGAGCGGGATGTTGTTGGTCTGAAGAAGAAGCCGAAACATCTCAGCGTCATTTTAAAGCGCGAACCAAGTGGGAGACACGGGGCTGAGTTGGAGAGATTGGTCGCTGAAGCGGCCGAGATTGCCGTATGGTGCGTCTGCGCCAAGATTCCCGTCTTGACGGTGTACGAGCGGACAGGTAAGCTGCTGATTCTACGTGTATATCCCATCACCCTGCTGACTTTTCCTCCCCCAGGTCTTCTTAAGCACTACCTTCCTCACCTGCAACAATCGATTATCCAGAAGTCGCGATCCTACTTCGGTAGACACCAGCCAGCTTTGACCGTGGCCATGCCGCACGCCGACGACGTCCTCGAGTCCCCAGCCCATGGAGATTTCGCGCGCAACGACCCACGCCACCTCAAGGTTCTCTTCATCTCCGCCGAGGATGGGCGGGCGTCCATGGTTGATCTCACTCGCACCTTGACCGAGATGTCACAAAAGGGCAAGCTCCACCCCCGTGACATCAGCACAGATCTGATCGATGCGGAGCTGTCGGAGGGAATCATGCCGGAACCCGATCTGCTCATTTCCTTCGGTCCTTACGTCGACCTCGATGGCTACCCGCCTTGGCCCATTCGCCTCACAGAAATCTTCTGCTTGCCGGATAACCAGGGTGTCGGATATCAAGTCTTTTTAAGAGCGCTGCTCAACTTTTCCAGCGCACAGTTCCGCAAAGGCAAATAGAGAGGTGTTTGGGTTGCGTATACCCCCATGAAAGATGTCATGACGTTCCCTTGAGCTGGTCTTTGGCGGAAGATACCCGCATTTCCCGCATCGTTTTGTCCCACCGATAGACAGGTCCGGTTCCGACATTGTAGTTGTAGTAATTATCAGTTCCTTCCTTGACCATCGCTCGCCTGAATGTGATGTTGATTCTCCCGCCATCCTCCGCATTCTTGCCCGTTCGCTTGGGTATCGAGTGAAGCCAATTCGACTGAGTGCGTCCGCGCATGAGGATCATGTCACCGCTGGCTAATGGCAACTTGATTTGTTTGGGCTGCGGTCTATCCGGATGCTCATTGTCTGGGGGTATCGGCTTGTGCTTCATGAGGAAATCCCTCCTCGCGCCGAGGGAGAAGGAGGCGATGGCTGGATCCGGACCAAGAAACCTCTCATCGTCGCTGTGGAAGGAGATGCTATCCGTGCCTGAAGCATAATAGTTGACGAGACAGAAGTTGAACTTGCAGTCTGTGGCCGTCTCGGCTGAGCGACGGAGGTCATCTAGACATTTGGGGATTGGCCGCGGTGGGTATCTCTGGTACAGTTTGTCAACGACTTTGAAGCCGGACTTCCTGTCTATGACGGAGCCATCGTCGTCGAATCGGGATGTGTCGTCCAAGCCAAATACTGTGGTGTACCTATCCATGTGAGTTGGTTTCATACCTCCAAACATAAACCTTCTGCTTACCGTGGCGTGCGAATGTGAGTTTGGAAGCCGCCTCTCTTAATATCATACTCCACTCGATAGAATGGCAATTCGGACCGAAGAAACTCAAAGAGATCTTTAGCCATGTACGACGGAATGTAAGGCTCAAAGTACACCAGGTCGAGGTCTGGTTGGTCATTCATGTCTTTGCCTGGACGGGCAGGGAGTGACGAGAGCTCTTTACTGATGCTTGTGGGAAGCTCTGAGATAGGTATGGGATAATTGGCGTGAGTGGACTGGCCGACCTGATACTCATGAATTTCTGTTAGTGGTGAATTCTACAAATGTATTTGAGCCGCAACGAGACATACGGTTTCGCTTGACTCATCTTCCTTACGCGGCTTCTTCACAGATGGCGCGAAGAAGGAGTCCAGAGTTCGCTTCTTCGACATGATATATGAAGGGCTTCCAGACAATGAGAAGTGTCGTGTAAGTTGAGGGCGAGCTTGGATGAACTGGCGCCCGTTGAGCAGTAGCCACATGCAAATGATGGCTCTAACCAATAAGCAGCAGCCGGGATCCCAGTCTGAAAGACCCTTAACTCTGCAAATGAATCTTAACAAGACACATACTCTACAACTAATACGAAAGCTGATGTGACCAGTCCCTCACATTCCTCTCAGACATGCCTGTCGACCAATCATCAATGACGCTTAGATCACGAAGCTCCAGTGACATCATCATGTGGCGTCCGGGCCCCACTCCCGCACCCGCCAATCCTCAGCCTCGCCGATACGCCACATCTGGGACCCCTGCCCCTCAGCCCTAGACGGAGGTTTTTCCTCAGCCTTGCCCCTCCATGACTGTGCCCGACTATCGACTCATCAACATGGCGGTAAGTCGAGACCCCTGCACGGCCGACCAGCCTTAGTACTTTGAATATTGTACTAATATCATCGTGAAGGACTCGAATTCCGATATGATTAGCCTCCGCGCGCCTCTTGCCCGCGCGGCTACTATCCTTGACCGTTCCCTCTTTTCTAAAAAGTTGGAACTCGCTGCCGCCACGGTCAAGGACCCCCGCAACATCTCAAAGTACCGCAAACAGCTGGAAAAGGGAAATGAGCTTCTTAGACTTGACCGTCTGGATTCATGCAGAACTGATCCCAAGTCATCAAATTTGAAATGCCTTTTGTTGCGACCTGGCGTGAAAGCTGATAGTGTGTACCCCGCTTATGCTTGCTACATGTCTTGAGCCTGTGACTGACCCAGAACTCAGCACCGACGACATGGGGTCCTGTCTTCCAGGAGGGTATCAAGACTGGAGAGCTGGATGTGGTTCCTTACGAGCTGCAGCTCGACTATGACTACTGGAGCTACCGTGAGTGCGGTTTGTACCGAACAAAAAATGTGACTTTGCTAACCCCTGACGAAGTTGATGTGATGACATCCATCTTGCCTGAGGAACTTCACGTAGAGATCCCAGTCGGGTTCAATACGGCTGGACATGTTGGTACGTCGCCCGAAGTGAAGCCGTGAAACCAGCCACTGACCCTCACAGCGCACCTCAACCTCAAGGAACAGTACCTCCCTTATAAAAAGATCATCGCAGAGGTTATCCTCGACAAGAACCCCAAAATCACCACCGTTATCAACAAGGTGGATGATGTCGGCGGCAACTCTGTGTTCAGAACCTTTGCCTACGAGGTTCTCTGTGGACCCGAGGATATGAACGTCGAAGTCAAGGAGAATGATTGCGTCTTCCAATTCGACTATTCCAAGGTGTACTGGAACAGCAAGCTCGAGCCCGAACACACCAGGCTCATCGGCATGTTCAAACCGGGAGAAGTTGTCGCCGATGTTATGGCGGGTATTGGACCGTTCGCCGTGCCGGCAGGAAGGAAGGGTGTTTTCGTCTTCGCCAACGACATGAACCCCGAAAGCTACAAGTACTTGAACGCAGCTGTCCAGAAGAACAAGGTCCAGCAGTATGTCCGTCCATACAACATGGACGGCCGCAAATTCATCCAGGAGGCCGTTCACCAAGTCTACGACGCTTTTAAGAAGGGAGAGGGCGCTGTCATCAAGCCCAAGCAATCGAGAAGCAAACCCCAGAACCCCCCTCCTCAGCCGAAGCACATCCCAATCCCTCCTACAATCTCGCACTTCGTCATGAACCTACCAGCTTCGGCTTACACCTTTGTGAACCACTACAAGGGCATCTACAGCGGACACGAGGAGCTCTTCGAACCTCACACGTCTGCGAAGCTACCCATGGTTCACGTCCACTGCTTCGCCCTCAAGAGCGACGACGAGGTACCCCTGAATGACATCCTCGAACGTATATACGCCGAGATCGGCGTCAGGTTCAAGCTTGGAGACGCGGATAAGCAAGGGGAAATGACCATTTACAACGTGCGGGACGTTGCTCCGAAGAAGCGCATGTTTTGCGCGAGCTTCCGTATTCCTCCTGAGGTCGCCTTCGCGAAGGAAAGCTGAGATTCGCCCGCTCGGTTTACAGAATCGCCGTCCCCGCAGGCATAGTTCGATGTCACTGTCACCGAGATGGACATGTCGATGCCGGCTTGGTGACACAACTTCTCAGTGACACCTTAACCCGGGGGACACCTCTTCCATTCACGCCACACGGGAAGCCTCACCATCCTCCACGACCGTGACCGATATCCCATCCACGCCGTCCAGGCCTTTACCAACCCCGCCTCGCTTCGCCCAACTTGCAGCCGGTGTAAGGCTGACAAAGCTCTCAGCAAAGAGCTTCCCCGGCGCCTCTCGTATATCTGGTGTACCTAGATGAAGGACTTACCTGATCGGCCGTCGTGCATGAGAGGGGGCTGGTCAACAGAGATAACGTACGGCCACCTGACGGTGTCGTGACGGGAAACCTTGGCCATCCTTCATTAAATGCGGAGAGTGAGGAGTCTGCGAAGTGAAGAGAAAAGAAAGAACAACAGGAGATGGCGGAGGAGGAGGAGGAGGATGAGGCAGGTCCACCTCGTCTCGACCCTCTGTGTCGCGGCGACTACAGCTTCGATACCGACCAATACCGATCTCCAATCGCACATTCCTATATCTGCTCCTCGATATACATGCAATCATGACTACTTGCATTCATCCCAGTTGTGCATATGCGCGCCCCATCCCCCTTCATCTATGAACCCTGGTGGTAGTGGTGGGTTGTCGTTGTCGTCGAACGCCAGAAACCACCACAACGTCCAGCATGTGATACCGCCAGCGCAATTCCGCCCAGTCCAAGGGTTCGGCGTGGTCGAACCGTCGAAGGGACAGCCCCTACCTCACCTAGACCGAGCCTCCATCTCGCGACGCCGCGCGACGCCGTGCGACCCCATCTTCGAGACGACCCCAGTCCCGCCCAGCCGAAGGTCAAGGTGCAGCATCCCGTTCGTCCCCCGCCCCGTATCGCCCCCCTTCTTCTTCTTCTTCTTCTTCTTCTTCATCAAGTCAGGGCTTGGTACAGCTACATCCACACGAAACGCGTCTTCATCATCTGTCCTTCTTTTCGCCTGGTTTTCAGGCGTCGCAGCGGCTGCACCATGACATGTAGATGATGACGAGGGGGTTTGCTCGGTGAAGCGGGGGCGGCGCCCAGAGGAGAGCATGGCAGGGCCTAGAACGCGAAGGGACTCGGCACCTCTGTGGTTGTCCCATCCCGCCGCCACCACCTTCAACCACCTCCTGCAACCTGTCAAAGCTGTATGTGTATGTGCATGTATTGTGCGTGTGTGCTTCCTCTTGTCGACTTTGCGACAATCCGGGGATATGTCTCAATGGGCTGTTGATGGTGTGTTTTGCGCACCGCGAATCCAATATCCCGTCAATCCCTCCAATTCCCGCCAAACATCATGAACAACGTCCTCAGTATACACCACATCCAAGCCTTGAGCATCTACATCACGCATCTATCACTATGTACTAAATCCCGTCGCAGCGGCAGCGGACCCGCGCCCTGCCGCGGCGCCGCGCCGTTGATGGGCCCAGAGTGCCCCCCCTTACCCCCAGCCAGCCTCTCGGGGAGCAGGCGGAAGGGGAAGGCAGGGAACCATTCCTGGCTCGGGCGATAGGTATTACTCAGAAGCCAAAATGATGTTGCCATTTCCCGACCCAAGATTCCCGTTGAGTTGTGAGAACGTCATCTACTCCGGGAAAACCCACACTCCCTATCGCGCTCATCATTGAGCGGCTTCTCTCTCCACGGGCCCCCAGTGTTTGAGCTCTCATCCAACCGTATAATTTCTCGTCGCAATGTCTATATCGGTTTGCATAGATACTGTGGGTACTCCCATCGTATGCATGATATGGGGTAGGGTCTTTGGGAGATAGGGAATAGAGAGACGGCGTTCGTCTCTGCGTGTAAACATATGTAAAAAGACTGGGAAAATGGGGCATGGGTACGAGGCATGGCGTGCATGCTGTACGTTGTACGCCCGTAGAACGCATGCCGCGACGTTGCAGTATTCCCTGGGGTCAGCAACGCCAGCGAAGCACATGTGTATGTAGATGTATGGGTGTGGATGTTGTGTGAGGTTCAGCATACTCCCCCTCCAAAGATCCCTTACAGTACAGGTATAGATACCCTTCGTGCCTTCGCCAACTCTTACGCCATACAAGGATACCTAAGACGCATGTATTGGCCCAGATAACCTGGACAAGTGACATTCCGGAGCGCCATGAAAGGTTCCAATTTACCAACGTATAGACATGGTTACACAAAGTGAAGAGCTGTGCCTAGAAATGGGAGCTCCGTCTGCGCCAGCTCTCGCAGGAGAGGCACCCTCCCCTCCCCGCTATTTCACCTGCCGTCATGCGAGGCGAGTTTCGGGACTATGGGTGTTGGGCATGATGATGTGCGTAAACGGCTGAATGACACATCTTGAGCTCGGAAAATGAAATTCAACTTCAATATCGCCCTGGATTGTTAGTTCGACCCAGTTCGGTTGTTATGGAGACAGGGCGTGTGTCTACACAAATTACGAGACTATCTCTGCAGAGCCTCTTGAATCCTGGCATCGATCGATAAAGTCGACAAGTAACAACTCCATGTAGCTAGTTCCTCTATGGCTAGATCCTCCTCTACTATGGAGAGATACGTGGTAAAAATCCCCGAAGAGAATTGCCCTGTCAGATTGACACAGTTGGTTGGTTTTGCTGATCTGACTCTTGCAGCAAGTATTGTAGATCAAGTCTTAGTATACTGTGTACACCACATCACACTCACAAACCAACGAATTGGGTAATCCGAAATCGAAGCAGATGTTCAGAACCCGATAGCTATCTGTAGGTCACTAAAAACCACCTGATCATCTCGCGGTCAATTTTGTTTTCCCACGGGGAAAAAGGCAAGAACTCCGCTTCTGTCTCCACTCCCCAGTCTCTGGGGCGCGGCAGCGGCTCAATCACGTAAAAGCCAAGAAACCCGCCTCCGTCTGCGTCAACCAAGTGAAGTCCGAGTCTCTTTATTCGTGGTTAGTGGAGGAGTACTGGGAGCGGGCGGGGGGATAGAAGAACCACAACTGAAGTTGGTCTCATCCCCCAAAGCAAGCCCAGCGTGTAAGCCAAACGCGCGCCGGCGCAAGGTACAAGAATAAAACCACGCATAGAACGAAACATCAACGCCTCAGCGCCTTGATCGACGATCTCCTCTAAGACTAAGACTGAAATCTGATTAACTTGAGCCTAGCATCCGCTGTCTCTCTCCGTTTCTCTCTGTATTCGTATGTGTGTGTACGTGTCTTACATTTCTATAGTTCGTACACCCTCAAACGGGCGTACTCGTGGTGTGATTAGCTTAGCGCCTCAAACCTCGCCAGTCCTAAGAATACACACAACACGTTCACGGCGAACCTCCGTTATGATATCCGTATCGGCCCTCCTTTTCCCTCGGGAACAACAAACCAGCGATGGGGATAAAGGAGCAAAACAACTGATCACTGACTGGTCGACGGCCCCCTCGACGGACCACGAAAATAAAACGGGGGCGGCGGCCCGCCCCTCCAATGCGTGCGTCCCCTTGCGCCCTTTTCCTTTGAAATTCGGCCGCCGTACCACCGTGAAAAACTCCGGCTCTCGTGGGAAAAGCTCCGCAAACGGGGGGCGAAAGAGAAACGAACCCGGAGGCGGAGGCGCCATTTTCACGAGCTTCCACTGGATGCTACTGGGCTAGGTTCCGAACTGCTTGGGTATGCTTAGTGAAATGTTCGAGCCCGGACGAAGCCCGTCGCAGAGGGGAGGAAGAAAAATCTCCTCTCTATCGGCCGGGAATACACCTGAGGCTTGTCCGTACCCTGAGGCTTGAGACAGCCAACCCCTTCCCGTGCCACCCACCACATCACGATGCTATCTAGGTATCCATCCTTCGCCTGGCAGAGATGTGAGCCGTCGAATTCGACAAACACGCCCGCCAGAGCCGCCCTTCGCTTGCGGCAGGCACAGATAAGCGTCGTGATCCGCGACAGAGCCGCCGAGAACGAGGAGCAAGCCGATTCAGCACACGCCTCGTTCGCCTCATGCATCCCACCATCTGGGTGCGCTATCACACTATCTGGCAAATACTTTATCCAGCGAGCCTCATTGAGGCTCGGGTGTGTGTGAGTGTGTGTGGAAACTAACTAACCTACCTGCCAACCCCCATCCCAAAGACGACATGGCCGGCCTGGCTGGCCGGCCGTACTCATTGACTGACTGATCAAAAGTCCTCGCGATAAACGTCCCGTCACTTGTCAGCTCGCTATTCCTGACGCAAATGACATCTTTCCGCACTCAGTCCTGCTTTCGTTTTGCCCTCTGCTTTTGCACCCTGCCCCAACCTCCGAATCCTCCTTTCATCGCCCCGATCATGAACCAAGAGAAAAAAGTGCTATACCCGTCTAAGCTTTATCAAAAACATAATAATCTATCCGTACCCCCTCCCTCCATCTTCCTCTATCCCGCAGTTGCCTAGCTTCTCCCACCTTATCGGAAGTCCTCCGGTGAAAGCTCCGTAACCTGTTGACCTGGGTAGTTCTAGACCACACCCCCTCGCATAACCCAAAACGATCCCAACTTTTCATCACGTCTTGCTCGGTCTACTCTCCGTGCCCTGAGAGTAGGTAGGAGGAGGCGGGGGAAAAGTAAACATGACGTCTGGTTTCCCCTCCTCCTCCCCCAGACCGGAGACAGAAAGACAGAGCCTCATAGCGGTAGGTAGAGACGGTCCCAAAAGGTTGACGAAACCCAATAAGCCCGTCTTCAACCGCACCCGGCCGCCCTGCTCTGCCCCGCGAGGCACGTCCTCTGTCCCGGCATTACGAACAACATACCGATACCTTACCTTACCTTACCTACAACACCGGCACCCCTTCCCCGGTTCCCCGGTTTGTTAAGCAAAAGCGCACGTACGCCCTTTACCCATCATCTGTTGCAAGATCGTGGGAAAATGGCCCATGCCCTGCTGCAACCCAGGAACAGCACAGATGATCATATACATCATACACACACCCCTTTGACTCTTTCTTCATCCTTCTCATCGTCTAAAGGAATTGAATTAGGTAAATAGTTGCCCGTAGCTTCCCCCGACCTGTCCGGTCATCCGCGCTGCCGGTTGTACCTGGCTAGCCCTAGTTCAGACTTGTAGAGTCCAGTTGTAGTTCAGCAAGGCCTTTCCCCGGCCGAGTTGAGTCCAATTCCTATACCGGAAACTCTGTGTCCAATACGATATACCTATAGTACTCGACACACTCCGCGTTCCTTGTTGAGAAGCTACTGGCGACGATAATCCCATCTTCCTCCCCTACCCCGGATGCCGGCCACCGCGGAAGTCTGGATTCATTGCCGGTGGCGCGGGGAAGCAACGGCACCTTGGCAGGGGTACCTCCATGATGCTGTACTGTCATGCTGCTGCTGACCTGCCTTCAAGACGCCGTGTTCAACATGGAGACAAGTTTGGGCCTGCGATCACCAACGGGGGCTGGGGTATGCGCGTAGGAGTTATCAAGGCTCATATCACATCGGCGTTTGCGTCGAGGTGCGCATAGCTCTTGGACCTAGACCGAGCCGCAAGCCGCGAGGCAAAACCCATCATCTCCCGGCCAAGCCTCCTCATACGGAACTTCTGAGTTGGAATGCGAGCTTGCTCACCCTTTGCGAGGCGTCGCGAACGGCCTGGGTCAGTGAACGCCAAAAAAAATAAATTCTGCCCACGTCCCTGAATGAAAGCTGTGTAACGTGTATACCTATGCGAAGGTTCCCCGCGGAGAAGAGAGGAAAAGAAGCTCGACGTCAAATGAAGAGAGCTTCCGCAGCTTAGGTCTTGGCTCGAACTTGAACTCGTTCGTTTTTCTTTTCTTTTTTCTTTTACTGGCTCGTCGTATGAAGTAGGTACACGCATTCAATAAGCCCTTGTCGAATTATACGATGAAAGCTTCCCTTTTCCCCGCGTTTTGCAACTCACATAGTTTTGTGTCTTGTCGTCTATAGACTTTCTTCTCTTGCGGAAACGTGGCAAAAAAACCGTTTGGTGCTTGCGCCGTACAGAAGTATCAGACATTTCTTTTTGGTATCTGCACGTCTGCAGGTAAAAGTATGTAAGCTCACCCTCAAAGGCTCAACCCCGCGTCGTCGCGCCACCCCAAGTCGGCGACAAACAGGCATCCGGAAGGGGGAACCTCAGGAACCCCTGTCCCTGCTTGACTTTGTGGTATATCACCGACCCCAGAAAGTATCTTATTGGTTCCAATGAGAACAGATCTCAAACACGTAAGATTCCCCCAACGTCTGGGGAAGAATGGGGAAGAGAAGAAGACCGAAAGACGTATTGGGTCGGGATTGCTCGGGCCAGCGTTGGGGCGTGCGACTGAATTTCCGCTTACCACCACCACGGCCCATCGGATAGGGAACGAACGATGAGACGGGTATGCCCGGAGCAAGATTCCTGCGTGCGAATACGGCGCACAGTCCGAGATGCAATACCTGGATAGAGAGGAGACGAGAGGGTGTGTGTGTGTGTGTGTGTGCAAGTTCCAGATGTTTTGAACCGCCCGGTTCCAGGCTGCGCAAACCTGACGGATGCAAGCTGAAGTAAAGAAACGCGGGGAAGCAGCATCAGCAGTTCCGGTTGAG